GCCTCAGACAGCGAACTTAACCTTTGGAACATGCTGGGACAAAATAACTGTCAAGTGATTTTTGGTTTTCAATGATGTTGTAGTGAATGTCAGTCCATAAGATAAATTGTAAAAAATAAAAAATATATTTTTATATCTTGTTGAGGATGCTAGATCCCTAGAACTCGCTTGGTAAATTTTGGATTTCACGTTTGCGAGCATGGGCTGATCAGTTGACCTTGAGATCTCACTTCTCACCAGGAAAATCCTTGACTGTCATTGGCTGCTGTGTATTTTAGTGTACTATTTTTGCAACTGTCCCAAAGACGTTACTATGATGTATAAATAAACGAGATTTGTGTGCTTGATTGTATTGTGATTGCTTGGTGTTTGTAGAATATACTTTCAACGCTTTTTAAGACTTGTCTTTTGCCGTTTCGGATCAAGGTAGCCTATCTGGATTCTGGTTCATTGTCTCGTTGGCGAACCCGTTATAGTTTCAAGCATACCTAGTGACGAACCGAACAATCTTCAAGTTGCTTTGTCGCAGGAAACTGAAAATAAAGAAAAACGAACTAACCAACATATAATTAATTAAATCACCCTTTCAGAAACCCACGTAAACCGTTGAACACTTTTAAAATACTGAAAATCAGTATAAACTGAACCAATAAATATGAACAAATGATATTATAGTCAATTAGATCTTCATGAAAAAACTTTACTCTACTATACATTAACACTTATATACAATCTAAAATATCAGATTTACATTTTATAAAAAAAAGAGTGTAAATTTTGTTAAATAATTTAGAAAATCGTAATTTACAAAAAAATTGATTTTGACAATTGAATGTAAATATGTTTTGTAAAACTTCAAGAGTGGATCAATATTTCAAATTTTACTAATTATTGTAAAAGTTTTAGTGTGGAATTTAAAAGAACAGTGAATTTTTTATAATTAACTATAATTAGACTACATTAGACAATAACAAACTATGAGATTAATCAATAATCTCGTGTCTCATTCTACTTGTATTAATAAGCATTCACTTCAAATCTAAGTTTTTTTTTTCAAATAGGACAATGAAATGTTTACAAGTAATAGACTTTAAAAGAAATTTGTTTAAATGTACAAATTTGTTGTTCTAAATACTGAAATGCAGTCAAAATATTCTTTCGAATATGAGAAATGCTATGTATGAAGTTAGTCTACCCTCAGGGTCAAAGGAAAAGAGGAAGGCCGAGAAATGGAAACAGACATGAGAAGAATGAACAAAAATTTGAGGGGATTGGAAAGGGAAGCCCAGGACGGAGTATGTTGGAGAATATTGGTCGGCATCCTATGCTTCATTGGAGGTAACAGTAAGTAATGGAGTTACTTGGATTAAAAGCGTCTAAAATACTGCTTTAATGGGAATGAATAACTTATGTTCACTAAAGAGTATAAACTTATGCAAAAGGATTATATGGGTTTCAGTTTCAGTTTCAGTTTAACAACTATCAGCATTGTGTGTATCAGAATTAACGTATAATTTGGCGGTTTAACTCTTAGTAGCTGTTTTTCAACTAAAACTTCAGGTCTTTCTTTTAACATTACATAGAAAATAAACTGAGTTCCAAATACTAACTGAATAACTGATCGGTGACACTTAGTTTTCGTAGATTCGCCATTAAATTTTAACCAGTTGTAGACATTGTAAGTTCCATTTTTGAAGGCTTTGTTTGAGGAAATCCATCCATGTATGCATTTTTAATTTGTCTTTATTGATTCCTTCAGTTATACATTTTATTATTCTGTTCTTTTTCATTTTGAGATGATAATATTTGTATTTTATTATAGTTTCTATTTCTTTTGCCTTTACTGAGTTTCTATGTTTCTTTCTGAACTGCATTATGTTGTTTAAGCTGATACTTAGTCATGGCGACAGCCATATTGATTGTGTCACTTGCATGGACTGGAACTGTTCATTTTGATTGTGAATTGAATCACCCTTCGAGAATAAGAAGCCCTCTGTGTTATAAAGCAACAAATATTATCCTTTGAACGAATCTGATCTATCCAGTAGGGATAGAATATCATTTAACTGCTTTGGATTTGATTCATTGAGCAATTGTTGGTAGAATAACTGATTGGTAACATTTTTTTATAACAGTTATTTACCCAAATCACTTGTTTTGATTTCAAATGGTCAAGAGGCGTGTCTAAACTACCTAGACAGTTATTCCTCAGTCCAAACCTCAGTTCGGATCCTACAGACCTTGCGTCCAAATTATTGAAGTGGATCCATTTACCATACAAAATAAGACTGAAATCTACCACAAAGACTGCTTTGAGCATTTCTACAGATATAGTCACTAATTAGACGAATTTTTATTGCAAGGATATTATGTTATTCTGTCTTCAATATTGGTTGTCATTGCCGAAATACTACTTTTTCAAACAGCCCTTTGATATAAGAGTTCTGTGCATAAGCGTAAGTGATAGCCACGGTTTTAAGTATAGAGAATACAGACCCAAGTTTCGAATCATTAGTTATATTTCATTAGACTCTAAGGACGTTCTCAGTATTATTAGAGATTGATAATATTAATATACTGAATTAAATTGAAAACATTCATTAGTGTGAGATTGTGATCCCAATTTTTTTCCCATAGAAATCAAGTTTGTGGGTGAACATATACTTTGTTGTTTCGAGTCATCAAAACTGACATGGTCATGCTTAGAAAAAATGACCCTGTCTTCTCCTAATTAAATTTGCACCAGCAGAACATACTTTTGAATCGTTTCAGGTTGTAGTACATTAACATACATACAAAAATTATTACACATTTTATAGTGATAATAGTCTTTTGTTGGGAATGTTAGATGCCCAGAACTCGCTTGATAAATGTCTTAATTTTGGATTTTATTCATGGGCTGATCAGTTGACCTTGAGATCACATTCCTACCAGGAAAATCCGTAGCCGTAAGTGGTTGATGTGTTATTTTAGTGTGCTATTTTTGTGACTCTTCCAAAGACGTTTCTATGATGTAAAACTAAACGCGATTTGTGTGCTTGAGATCATTGAGTTTGCTGGGCGTTTGTAGAATACACTTCCGTATCCGCCATAGCAAGACTTTTCTCTTCAGTTGGTTGGGGCAACGGATTAGAGTAGCCTACCGTGTCACTGGTTCATTGTCTTGATCTCATTTATCGACTAAGGTTAACTCGTAATAGTTTTAAGCATATCAGGTAACAAGCATAACATCTTCTTTAAACTTTGAAAAATCGAGGATAACAACTATTCCCAATTTTTTATTTACGGATGTCTTCTCAAATAAATTACATGTCAATTCATTCATTTCTATACTTCAAGACTGAGCGGAAACAATTTATCACATCTAGATTTTACAATACTTCCGAATTCTGTGTAGCAACTATGAAACAATTTTAATTAATATTGAATATCAAGACAAAATCTGACACGAAAATGTGAACTGAAAGGTTCTAGCTTTTTCACCTCTACTATTCGGTAACAAACAATGGGGTTACACCTTGAAATTTGATATTACTGAAGAGTTGTATTTCATAAATTATAAACTGACATTTAATAATGTTTAACGTCGTTTGTGATAATGATGATTCACTGATGAGTAGGTATGTGGTAAATGATACTTTGATAAAATATAATATTGCACATCAAAACAGTCCTTTCTTATATTTTAAGCTTAACCCATTAACCAAGGAATTTCCTAGTTTATCATATCACTAAATGAAACATGAACAATTACTTATAACTTGACTTGTTTATTCCTTCTTCATTCACAAAGTATGAACATACAGTTTTAGCTAAATATCTAATGGAAAACAAAAGTAGTTTGGATTTGATGTACGACAGTTCATCGAGCACAATCTGATGTACATTACTTTGTGGTAGCCAGTTTTGACGGCGGGCTCACCATTTGTGTACACTGGCGAGCGAATTAGCGACTGAAGTCAATCGCATGAAGCGATGTAGAGAATTTTTTCGACACACCACAAATAGAACAGCAGACTACAAGCACTATAAGATAAAATCGTCATGCGAGCGCCGGAAAGCGGGCAAGCGAGTGAATAGGCGAATGAACGGATAAAACCATGTGGAGAAGGCTAGTCAGCCAACTCCCAGGATTACAATGCGAACGAATGGGCGAAGGAAAAGAATGAACAGGTGAAGCGCGTTGGAGAAGGCTAATGAGCCAACTCAAAGAGATAGAGCATGACTAATAATATATAGTTAGACAAATATAAGATAGACATGCAACAAGCGAAATAGGTACACATGAATAAAAGCGACGAATAGTTGACAAGGTCAAATGACAAGTGGGACAAGTCACATGAGCTCATACAAACCAGACAATAACAAGAACGAATGGTACATATAAATTGTTGCAATACAAATGGCTCGGCTAAATAAATTCATCGAAAGGCTTGACCAAATTAAATGTAAGCGAACTGGAATATATATGTGGAGCCACTGCAACCTTATATAATGGCTATACGTGTAAATTAGCTATACAATGAAAGATATATACACTTTATTATAAGTAGATATCAATCCAAACAACCTCTTCAATAATGTTTGTGTATTTCATCGAAAGTAAATATTACAATTCACTCGCCATCATTAACAGATTATAATCTCAATAGAATCAATGAATTGGTTGAATATACTATCAATTGCTTTGTTGTTATGTGAATTCGTGTTCAATACTAATCCATTAACTAACAACAAGCAGATCTCTGTACTCAAAACTAAATTAAATGAATAATGAGTTCTTATTTTAATAAATATATTAGAATTATTTACAGAAATTAGTTACTGAAATAACCAATTTGATATATTTACAAATTAATGCATAATAATGAAAATTCTTTACATATATACAAATATACTACTAATAAGTAGTAAACATCTATAACCTACAAATATCACAGAAAATATCATTTACAAGTTAAATTAAATTCACAAACAAATTAAATTTGATTGATAAAATTTCATTTATATGAAAAATTATTAAAAAGTTTTTGTTTACATAATATCACAAATTCATTATAACCTTCACGTATTAACTGATTAAATAAATTTGCATAAGTTGGCTTCAAATTCATTTTAGGATTAGAATTGATTTCTATCCAATTTAATAAAATAAGATAAGATGTATAATGTTCATTAATTTTATTAAAACTCAAAATTTTTGACCAATTTTTTTGATCAATTAAATTGTATTCATTATAATAAGGATGACATATTTTAAGCCAATTTTTCCAATTTGGTACATTTATATTATTATTATTATTATTAGATAAATGAATAATATTCCATAGATCAGTTTCTTGAATAATCATCAAGTTATCTTTGGAAAAAAGAAATAATGACTCTGTTTCTGCGGTTTTATCATTTGATTCAATAAAATTTGGAATTGTTTTATTAGGTGATTGTATTTTTTCTAAAAATGATATTACATTCTTATGAATTGCTTCAGTTTCACGTTTAGTCTCTTCAAGTTTTGTATGGACAACATTTAATATATGTTGAGTTGTTTGATCGGTTGTTGTAGTTGCTGTTGTAGTTGCTGTAGTTTTTAAAGATACGGTAGGATGCCAAAGATTAGGTAATAACATTTGATTTAATTTATGCTGTCGAAGCTTATTAATTCGACGTTTGGTTAGAATTTTTGGTTTACGAATAGGTTCATATTTTTGTTGTAAGATTTCGTTATTAATATTATTATTAGTAGTAGTACTAGTAGTATTTGTACATTGCTTTTTATGCGGTGTAATTTGAGATATTTCTTCATCTAAATTCAAATAAGATGCAGCACGTTTTATAGGTGTACCAAATTCTATAAAATTATCAAACTCGTCTATTAATTTAAAAGTTGACAGTGTATTCATATTGTTGGATTCGTTTGATTGATTGATCATGGGTAAACTATTTCTTCGTCGAGCATGTCTTGACCATGGTTTTTTCAAATGTATCATTCTATCTAAACTACCATTTCGAAATAGTTTTCTTTTTGATTGATTTATACTTTGTTCAAATTGATTATTATTATTATTTCTGTGTGTAAAATGAGCTTCATTTTGATTATAATGATTAGTATTGAAGAAATTCACATTCGGATTCAATGGATTTGAATAACAGACATTATGAGTTAGTTCTATAATAATGAAAGAAGTTTAAAATAGAAAAAAAGATAATTAGAACTAAATTAAACCTGATATTTCAAAATGATATGCTTGTCAGTTGATAAGCTTGAATGCTATTACGAGTTCACCTTACTCGGTGAATGGAACGAAGGCACGTTAGGCTATTCTAATCCGTTTCTTCTGGCCACAGCTAACTAGATCAAGAAGTCTTGACAAGGCGTAGAGAGTGCATATTCTACAAGCATCCAGAAAATACGAGGTTGAAAAGCACACAAATCCAGTTTATTTATAAATGATAGAAACGTCCTTGGGAGAACCACAAAATAGTATACTAAAATAATCCATTGACCAGTGACAGTCAATGATTTTCCGAGAGGGAAATGTGAACTGAAGGCCAACTGGCGCGAAAACATAGAAATTCAAGATTTTAGAATAAAATTTCTAAATTAGGATCTTCCCAATCGAGTTCTGAGGATCTAACGTCCCCAATAAAAAAGAAGACTGAGATTATTTACATGATCCGAAGCGATATAAATGAATGCTATTATTTATTAGGGTAATACTGCCGATTATTTTTGAGTACACTCCTTATATATTTAAGCATTAATAGCTTTAACCAAACTCTTTTTTCGGAAGAATTGCACCGTGTAACGTTACTGACTTAAATATTATTAAATATCGGCTAAATGTCAGTGAAAAACAGTCATGGCTAAATAGAACTATGGAACATGCACAATATTCAAACTTAACTATCACACTATCTAGGTAGATATTTATGACACTATAATCAATACCGTAAACTTGGATATACTTTTGTCACAGAAATATACAAATTAGAAACTAATTGAGAGTATGGAGTACTAAACAAAGAGCTAATTTGGTGCTCTGATGCAAGACAGTATGAGGTGATCTGTAGCAAACTCTGAACTTCGGCTTCGTGTTAGCTGATACTTGTCAGAGAGGTGCACAGGCAATTATGGGAGAATAACTGCTTCCTCTAGGATTCCTTATTTTTCACTAGAATGTAGACAAAATTTAGCAATCATTTTAACCAAGACTTACAATTCGATTCTCAAGTGAATTAACGATACAGATACCTTATATTACATTAATCGTCGATTATGAGACCACATCATAAGAACAAACTATAAAGATATATTCGTTCTCTTGTAAACCAACTAAACACTAATTCTTTTTCAATTGTTAACGAAAATTCCCATGTATTTTTCATGAAATGAAATCAATTAAATAACCGCCAAAAAATAAAACATTACTGAATGATCATTTTCTATTCAGGTAGAAATATAAGATTCTTTGGCCTCATTATCATTTATAACACGGTGATACTTATTTGTCAAATAAAATGAAACTATCAAGAATTCATTCATGAAAGAACTTCATATTTGTTTTATCACAAGTGTGATAAAAATCAAAGCATTTATCAAAAGTATTAGAGTGTTAAAGGAAAATAACAGTAACAGATCATCAATTCAGTCAACTACTTACTATAATAAAAAAAACTATAGTTAGCTTTCAAACACTTTTAATTCATTCGAGATTTTTCATACACTTAAACTGAAGTTTTAATTAAATGAACAATTTAAAGGGATTTGCGAGTAACCGAAGAAAATGTTGAAAAAAATACCGGTTATTATCAAACTAGCTGGTAGATTATAAATGTCAACAGTAATATAAATCAAAAACTTCAGTTAAAAGGTAAATATAAACTTGAAAAATATGAAAGGGTATTTTTCTAATCAGGAAAGATTTACTTCAGCTTTATAAAACAATTACTTAAAAGTATTTTGTTTCATTTTATCTCCATAAACGGAGCACTGGTTAGCGTTTTTTTTCTAGCAAGTTAGTTTCCATGGGAAGTGCATAGGCCACACAGTGAGGAATCCGAAATGTCAGAGGAAAAAAAGAAGACCAAAAGGCATATTACGCCGAGAAATGGAGATAATCATGTAAAGGATGAACAACAAGTGGATAGAACTGGAAAGCAAGGCCCAGGACAGAGTAGGTTGGAGAATGCTGGTCAGCGGCCTATGCTCCATGAGGGGTAACTAGTGTAGTAAGCAAATAAGTAACTGATTTGAACGGAGCACTGTACTGCATCGAAAAAACTCTGTCATTTATAACTTTAAAAGACGAAATTCTACAAGGATAGTTAATTAGTACAGACTCTGTAAAAAATTTGCTTTTAAATTACGTAAACTTTCTTAAAATAAAAATTTTGTTGAATATAATTACTGGGTATAATTATTTAAAACGGGAAACAATATGAATTGAGTTAATCCATAGTTAACTATAATCGAAAATGTGTTCGAATAATCTCTACGACTATATTATGATTTCAGAAACCAATTACTTCAATTTATTGATTTTAGAGGTATAATGAGTTAGTTAGATGGTCATTTGTAATATCACTTAAAACTTTAACAGTACTTTCATATCCATCAAAACTCCTAATCTTCATCATCATTCTTAAACTCTCTTTTCTTTTAGATTCCAGCTACAAAGTATCGAGTAAATTAAAGCAGCTGTAAAACAAGCATCATTATGAACTGAAGATCATCTTAAACTACAATTTATCATTCCAATAAGTAAACATCAACATACAAATTTCTTCTTGATATAGAGCTCTTAATTCAATGTGTAACTATATTACTGTGGTGCGTGCTACTTATAAGTAGTATATGACGCGAGTGTAAACGTAATGTCTGGCAGAAGAAGATGGGGAAAGATCAAGCAAGAAGGAAGAGTGGAAACACAATGGAATTTGTATGAAACACATGAATAGTGAAGTGTCAGACAATGGATTGATGATGGATTGAAGATTTGCAAATTAACGGTAACGATATGGTTTTCCTATTTTACTGAGTAATTCTGTAATTTTCGTTAAATACAATCCGCTTGCCCTCACCTGTGTTCTCCTTCACTACATTACAACATGACTGGATAGGACACACTACGGAAAGCACCCAACTGCATCGCAAGACAAGCCCTCACATGGAGCCTTCAAGGTCAGAGGAAAAGAGGAAGGCCAAGAAACACATTACTCAGAGAAATGGATACAGACATGAGAAGAATGAACAAAAATTGAACAGAACAGAGTAGGTTGGAGAATACTGGTCGGTGGCCTATGCTTCATTGGGAGTAACAGGAGTAAGTAAGTAAACAACTTAATTTAGACCATTATTGAATGATTAAACAACTGTAAACCTTTTCTTTATATTCCAATTATTGATTTTATTGCTATTTAATTTTTTTCTAGTTTTCTTTCATTAAATCAATATATATATCGTCTATGTATACATACAGAATTTCCACTGACTTTCATAATGACTGGTTGAACTGAGATTAAATTGACCAAAACATTGAATAGTTGGATATATATTTCTTCTCTATAAGTAAAATAATTATTTATTAATTGAAAATTATTTTCATATATCATTGTCATGAACAAACCAAAACACATATTGTCACATTGTTGTTGTAACATCAAAAAACAAAAAAAATCTCAATATAATTAAAATATAGAGCTCAATAGTGACAATTTCAGCACATATGGTACATAGTTAAAATATTATTTATGTCAGCATGCAAAATCGAAATGGTAACTTTGAAGTTTAACCTGCAGGTTTACTCACAACTCATATACATCGATACTAAAATCGCCAGAACTTTTATTTAGAACACAAACAAATTGACTATAATATTGCTGATTAAAATTAGATTTTATTTAATCAGTTGAAAACACGTAAAATGAGCAAATTAAAAATAAAATCAATGAAATGGAATGAAAATCAGTTTTTTTTAGTCAGGTTAGTTTTAGTAACTAAGTTAAGTTGTCAATATGACAATTAGGATGTTTTTGTTTGTATGTATGTATGTGTACACATATGTTAGGTGTAGTATATTCGTCTCCTACTGGACGAACACGAAATATTTGAAAATCAGACAGATCAGATGCTATTGGATTACGTAATCCAAGCACTAATAATTGATATGATCACTGAAATCATAAATTATACGTGACAAGGACAATAATTATGCTTGTTTAACAATGAATTAACAATATTTATGTTGATATGTTCAAAAAGAAAGGATGAAAACTTCTGACCAAAAATTAACCGTTAATAATCAGTTATACATATTAGAATAGAAGAGTTGTTTCGTCAATAATTTGACGAAGTCCACGATGAATACCATTTTATCTCACTAATTTAATCAGTTAATCATCCTTAACGTAAAACTTGGTGCAAAAACATTGTCTGTCTAAGTGGTCATAATTGCCAATGACATGTTGAGCAAAAAAATGAACAAGATTAAAGATAATAAGATCAATATAATATCAAATACAATTCAAGCAGAACACATAAGAGTGAACGATAAAAATTTAAGATTTATACTTTACTATTAAATAGAACTAAAACTGTAATGAAGTTCACAAGTTAATTATTTTTTATTCATGAGATGAATATCCTTGTTTATTCATAACAACTGGATCTTAATGACTTAAATAATAGATTTTTAACCAAAATGTACACTTTGAAATGGGAAGACTGTAAGTATAGCTCATTGTCTGATGCATTGTATTAAGTGAGATTGCTGATTCGTATAGTTCTTAAACTGTAAAGTTCAAAATAAATGTCATGTTCTTTTATTGGTAATCAGTTCGGGTAATTTCTTTCACAGTGCACAGGCTTATGATTTATAATTTAATTGATGGAAGCACTTATATAACCTTGTTTCCATAACCGATCAATAAAAATTCAACCTGATTTCATCGTCACAACTGATGTCAGCTGATGGAGCATTTTTTTAAAAAAATCAGGAAGTGCTGGACAGATGTTTCGGTCAAGTATTTGAACTGTTTGGCAATGAACATCTACGACTTCACAAGGAATCTAAATCAGAGATTATATACTTCGTGACAAGAATGATATTATCATCAAATCCATCAGGCATACATCTCACCTCGTTATTCACTTGTTTCTTATATTGTGAAACTACTCTAAATTGAATGCTCAGAAATTGTAACTTTGATAAGACGTTGCTCTTGATACGGTGTAAATGGCATCAGCTAAATCAAATTTAGATAAACACTGAACACTTGTTTGAAATGGTTCCTCAACCCCTTTGAATATCTTATCTACAATATTCAAGTCTTTTGGTAAATATTTTACCAAAAAATTAAACCATAGATTTATTAAAAAAAAATGATTACTTTTGAATTTTACCTAGTTATATCTATGCTCAACTCATGCACTGTCTATCTGTAAGTTTGAATGATTTTTCACCTACCATTCTGAATATGTAAAGATGACGTAATTCATTACATGAGTAGAAAAAACCTTTATTTTGATTGTCATCGCTCATATAAAGGCTATTGAAAGGAAATTTCAAATTTACATTTTAATAGTTAGAAGATAGGAAACGTGTTAGCGCGAATTTCTAGTGTATCTGCTTCTTATTATTCAATATGTGTACAATATCTAACATTTTCTCTTTCTTCCAGGTAGTGTACACTGAATAGATGAGTATGATATTTAACTGGGGTATTTCATTCCAACCTTTAACGTTCACTTTATTTGCTTCTTTTATTACATAACAAGTTATAACGAGCTACACTGGCTTGTTCATAGACAATATGTGTAGATTGCTTTAGGTGACTATATTAGAGTTTCCAGTGAAAATTACGCTCTTTAATACAAAAATCAAGTACTAAATCAACGGTTAAATATTCGAAAATGCTAGGCACCAACCATACTTCTATTGAACATCGAAGAAAAGATATTTATTTTCAAGAATAGAGATACACACATTTTTGAAACTATGAATCAATCATTGTTAGACTACCAGTAGAAACCTGCAAGCACTGGATGGTCGGAAAGGGATGTAAAAAGAAATAAACAAAAAGACTGAGGTATACATGGTAGCAATCCAAACAGTATTAATAGGACAGGTGGAATACAATTAATTGTGTCGCGACAACTAACAATTGATAAGCAAATCTGAACTTCATATTAAGTATTAAATTTCACTCCTTCTTAGCCCTTCACTTATTATGTAAGCAGCAACGATTATTATTAATCAGTTGACTTATCTGATTATAATATGATGAATAATGAAATTTTTCAACACTACAACACAAATTTCTATTTGCATTACGGGGTTGTCAAGATTATTAAGTTACACATTTTTGAAACCATGAATCGATCAATGTTAGACCACCATTAGAAACTTGGAACAACTGGACGGCCGTTTCGTCCTGGTATGGGATTCATCAGCATCGAGCATCCACGACTCCTACTCATCGCAGGATTCGAACTCGGAACCTTTGGTCTTGCGCGCGGACGCGCAACCTCTGGACCACTAAGCCGGTATCTAAAGATGTTAATGTCTGACTTCGATCAATTGACGGAGTTGTGCAACCTCATACACTGTCTTTGGTAGTTATTGTCTACACCCGAACAGGTTGAATTTCACTGGTCACGACTTTCCACTAGAACTCGGAGAAGATTCCTCACGAAACTAGTCACTAGTGAGCACAGGTAGTTTGCATTAAGGGGTTGTGAAGATTGTTAAGTTACACATTTTTGAAACCATGAATCAATCAATGTTAGACCACCAGTAGAAACCTGGAAGCACTAAACGGCCGTCTCGTCCTGTTATGAGACTACTCATCAGCAATGAGCATCCACGACTCCTGCTCATCGCAGGATTCGAACCCGAAGACCTTCGGTCTTGAGCCCGCGAACGCCCAACCTCTGAACCTCTGACCCAGCCAGCATCCAAAGTTGTCCATGTCTAACTCTGATTGATCTACATTTAACGTTAGTTACTGTTCATGCCTATCATAACAGTGAATGTTTCGTTGATCATAAGTTAAATTATACATTGCTTGATATAAGTTTAACCTTTGATCAGTTAACTAATTGTGTTCCACTCTACATCACAGCATATTTCTAATATCTATCTGAAATAAAATATCATATTACCAGTAATAAGTGATAATTATTTAAAGAACGAAATCCTTTACATGATGATGATGAGTCATTTAAGCTTAATTAACAACTTGAACATTCTACCAATCACATTTTATTTTCAAAATAAAATGAAAAAAAAATAAAAACCAAAAACTATTCTCTCTATTGACATTCAAATGTACATATGTTTACAATGTCATGATTGGAATAAATACTAAGAGTCTAAATAAATATACTACATTACAAACTATTGTATAAACTATATGATTAGTTATGTATGTTTATTTAGAGTAAACAATACACAAATTTGACAGCTTTATTTTTTGAATACAAAAAACTACACCAACACCAACAACACGAAAATAATTAATAAACTATTTAATTAGTTTAAAAAAAATGAATTCAACACAATCAATGTGATAATCACTGACATGGATACAACATGTTCATTTATTTTTTTTAAAATAAAAAAAAAACACAAACTTGTTTTAAACAATGAATACATGTATTTGGTATATTTAAAAATTACTTCAGTACTTGTATATACATAGATACTATGAGTTGGTGTTGGTGTGTGTGTGTGTGTGTGCGTGTACAACGAAGAAATATTTATTATCAGTAAATGAAATAATAATAGATACTTTGTAAGTTATGAATGATAAAAGTAATCAGCTATTCAGCACGTGATAAAAAGAGTAATAAGATATGTCGCTGGCATTAGTGACCTTTCAACAAGTGGGAACCTGTTTAGTTGAACACTTTAACTATAATGATGACAATAATAATAATCATACTGATTGTAATAATAGTAATAATAATAATATTTGTAAACGATACCTTTCTTGGATCACGTGGTCCAATCGACTGAATAGAATTTTAGATGCATAAAGAATATTCTATTGTGTTATTTAACGTGATTTACTATTATTATTATTATTATTATTATTATTATTATTATTATTATTATTACTATTTTCTTATATGCCTCCTACATAATACATACGAAATATGAACATGTTAAAACTTGATGTTATGTTTGATTAGTACCGATTAGATTACTTTGAATTTGTTTGTAATAACGGTTCGATGAATATGAAAAGAAAGAACGTGGAAAAAAAATAAAACAAGAAGTTAGCTAGCAGCATTCAATCAGATAAAGAGTGTGTATGCTTTGATTCATGTAAATTACAGATGAAATTACTGTATTTATTTTATGCACAATATAAATAGGAAGTTTATTAAACGAATAAACAAAAAGAAATTGAAAGTTCTAAATTGGGAATATAATTTTTTCTAAAAATAAATCAAAATCTAGAAATAAAACGCATGAAATACTATTAGACTTCATGATACAAAGATAGATATATTTGCTTAATCATTTTAGGTCTTTTATGAATCCTTACTTTACTTACGCCTGTTAACCCTAATGGAGAATAGGCCGCCGACCAGAGTTCTTCAACCTCCTCTGTCCTGGGCTTTCCTTTCCAGTTCTGTCCAATGTTTGTTCATTTTTCTCATGTCTTTCACTATTTCTCGGCGTAATTTGTTCCTTGGCCTTTCTCTTTTCCTTTTACCTTGAGAGTTCCTAGTGATGACTTGTCCTGTGACGCAGTTGAGTGCTTTTCACAGTGTGTGTCCTATCCACTTCCACCGCTTCTTCCTGATTTCCTCCTCCACTGGAATCTGGTTTGTTCTCTCACACAGTAGGTTGTTGCTGATGCTGTCTGGCTAACGAATCCGAAGTATTTTGCGTAGACATCTGTTAATAAATACTTGTATCTTCTGGATGATGGCTTTCGTAGTTCTCCAAGTTTCCGCTCCATACAGTAGAACTGTCTTGACATTTGTATTATTGAAAATCCTAATTTTGGTGTTGATTGATATGTGTTTGGAGTTCCAGGTATTTTTCAATTTTAGAAACAGTCGAATCCAATGAAATGTTATTCTGTTAGTGAATAATACTTAGACAACACAGTCTAAAATAGATAAGTTATTATTTTCACCCACAGTTAGTGTATCTTAATGCACAAAAAAACACAAAACACCTCTAAATCATACAACTATCAGTAGATCATTTTATTTTAAATCAAAACAAATAACTGGAACAATCGACTCACTTGAGGATGGAAATATTTGATCTGAAACGCAGGACTTTTCATTATGTAAACATACACCGGACATTGGTTGATTATGATGAGGATGATGATGATGATGATGATGATCATGGTGATGATGACTAAATGGTGATATTTCAAAATGATTAAAGCATTGATTCCATTGTAATCGATTATCAATAAATTTGTTTTTATTTTGTGAATTTGAATAAAGTATACTAGCAACTTGTGATAAGCATCCACCAAGTTTTTGAAATTTAGATAATATTAAACAAAATATTCTTCTAGGTGTTATCAAATTTGATTGTGTTACAGTTGAATCATTAATATAATAGCGATGTTGTGAAAGAGTTTCATTTATTTCATAAATTTCTTTTGATGTAAAACCAAGTAACGTGGCAAATTGATGCCATCTGAATGGTGAATGAAAGTAGCCGTATAGTGCTATAGAACAACACCAAAAAGAGGAAATTAAAGAATAGTATTAACCTTAAAAACGTATAATAGTAAGCTTTACATATAAATTCAATACATATTTACAATGAATTCATAACACTTGCTAGTACTAACTAAGAAATTATCAAGAACCAAAGGATAATTCATAGCCGATTTAAAAATAAAATTTACCACAGATGATCAGCATGTATAACATTGCTCTGATTGTGTAGTAAATCTATCGAAATCATAAACCAGTCACATTGTTTGAAGAGGTGAACATGATTACGGGATTGTGAAGATTGTTAAGTTACACATTTGAAATCATGAATCGATCAAAGTCAGACCACCACTAGAAAGCTGGAAGCATTGCATTGCTGATGAGTCCCATACCAGGACAGGACGGCCATCCAGTGCTTCCAGGTTCAAATAAAAATAATGACATCAAGTTATAATTCCATAAATATCCAACCTGTCTGATGTCACATTCTTACCATACTCATGCTATTGTTAAGCAGTAATATAATGAAGTTATTTCAGCTTAAAAAAGTATACTGGAAGATTCATTGTTTGATGTATACCAGATAGAAATGGGGAGTTTTATTATTAGAGAATATCTTGAAAGCTATTTGAACACAATTCAAATGATCTGACTGTGTATAAAGTATGGGTTAGACTGTTATAATAAAACAATGATAATGATTTGTATTTTGTTTACTGGTAACTATGTAGTTAATTCAATGATCAATAAAAGTTCTCATCATTATCATCATTGAATATTTTTCATTTGAAAATCAATGATAAAATAGAATAGAATTATTTTGTAGTGTTCATCTAATTCAGTTTGAACAAATATGTTTTCAGATTATTTTTTTCTTATACTGACGTGTTTTTTTATGGTTAGAGGATTGAAAAAGACCGTTGAGAATGAAAAAGAACTGATCAGATGTTTCGTCATTTTTTCAATATTTGTCATAAAAGATTAATAGTGTAGTGAATCCATTTTCATAAAGAGAAAGCGATTGGTTTAACAGAAAAATCCATTATTATAACCAATCGTACCAGTTATTGTTTTACTGTACTTTTTGTCCATTACACTCTGTATGTGCAAACTTTTGTTGAATGATGCTGTCATTTCGCCCCTCTTTCGTGGCACTATTTCGGTATTCTTTCGATACCACGAAATCACCAGCTAATATATCCTTTCATGTAGAATGAACCTTCTTCTCTATGGCAGGCTCGTAATTAGTATTTAGTAGTGATCACTCTACTCGAACGCCACTAAAATGGATTAACAAGTTCTTGTCAACTTTCTACTGTCATTCTTAAATATGACTAGACACCTGTTATCTTTTAAAATATCACAAATTCAAAATTGTGAATAATAATAATAATGATAACTTACAAGCCAAGTCATAGAGACTATTTACAGTCCATAAACTCCTTTTTACAAATGAACTTTCCAAATTCTGTAAAATTGGTAAAAAACAATATGATAAATATGATAAGCAGTTATTCTGAAATGCTCATTTCCATTAATTACTTATCATCAGTTCATCTAGTAAAATCAATAAACATTTGCAAACTAGCAAATATTTAAACTTATTATGTAGATAGAGGTTTGTCATTCATGGGATATAAGTATAATATCATTAATTTATGATAAACAACGTCAGACTACTTGTACTGTCAGTGTGTAGTTTTAATACAATTTAGTATCCTTCAGGAAAACGGTTTTTGCTGATTAAGTATATTTAGTTCGGCCATAAACTATAAACCGAAATACCTGGCTCTGAAGTCCTTGAATAAACCAGTATATTATCTTATCTTGATAATATGTGTAGATTAGATTATCCTATTTAATCACAATGATAGTTTTAGATTTTTAATCTGAACTAAGAACGATTTTAAAGTCCAGTGATGTTGAAAATAAGTCTATGTAAACATATTATTCATAACATATGAACTATGGAAGCTAAAAGTCAGTCACTAAGTTGTCATCAACGTAAAAAGTGCCACAGGTGTGCGCTAGCTGGAACTGCCACATAAGGTTTATATGACAAGATAAAATGACTAAATTGAGTGTCGAAGGTCACTAAAATAAAGTGTTAGCAATAAAAATGGAAAATTTGAACAAGAAGAATGAGGTTCAAAAAGACAGAGTGGAATGATATGTAGGAAGGAATTCCGGAATTCGCTAATAAGAAAATGGTAAAGAGTTAATGGATTCGCACCGCTGTGAATGATTCTAAACCATATAATCCAGTCTTTTACCACCTTTTGTGACAAGAACTCGGAATCTAATCAGGTATTCTCCATTTTCCAGCTTGCTTTGAACTAACGGTCAGTGACCTTATGGACTAATGCTACTCTGCGAATATCCCCGCCCAACTTTGCTTCTAGTTTCCCATACATCAGCAAACATTGCTCATCTGGATAGGTGGCGACTGAGCATATGCCTCAAGAAACAAATATTTATCTACATCATAAATGGAGAAACAAGTCCTCGCACTATGAATAGATACAACTGAAGTAAAAACTAAGAACCCGGATGGAAAATAGATGCTTCAGAACATCTATGTATCTGGATAAAATTTGTTGATAAAAAGGAGAACGGATCTAATATATTAATATTACAATAATACTAATCCTACCAGATCCAGTTTGATTTCAGAAACTGTTTGGAAGCTTGTTCTGTTGAAATACTTCCTAACTAACAGTTTTCCGAATGATGATTTGTTTAATTCTGCTGTTTTTAGTACTTGGCATTTAATTGTTTTGGCTACCGACTGATCATCTTCAGGGACTTCAATGTAGTGGAATTTCGTCTCTCCAAAATAACTTTCTACACGTAAGCATTCTGATTCCAACATTATTGTCATCCTTTCCCCAGGATTAATTGTATGTATTAACTCTGCTTCTCCAACCTGAAAAATATTCGTCAACAAATATAATAATCGGATGATAGGCTTTGAAATTTGTGGAAAATTGTAAGGCTAGTATGGTATGAGATAGTGATAACTTTATTTTCGATCACTTACGTAGGAAAGTTTATTATTGTGAGCTTATTTTCAAGGAATAAAAGATGTTCGTGGATTCAAATCAAGCTGATATAGATTGCTTGGTTTGTGGAAAAAAATTGATGATTATTTGATCAAGGTCATGTTTTGTTGGTAGACTGCCAGTTTTTAAAGACTAGAATTTTTACGGTTAGTTAATTGAGCATCAAGTAAATGATGCTGCTTTGTCCACTCTTAACAGAATACCTGAGTGAATAGCAAACATTTGAAGTAAAAATGGAAACAATTTTAGGTCATTCACGTGCCCTACACATTTTCAGATTCATGACAAAATAAAACAAAATTAACATTTTCCAAGCCTTTAGGGTATGCTGTTATATATTAATGAACTAAATTAGTTTCATACGATGTTATTTTTGTACAAATTAGGAAAAGCAACAGAATACTTACATTTCAAAGCCGCGTTGAGTAAAAAATACCTCATAAATCATGTCACTTTAATAAAAATTTAATAAAGAAAACGAAAAATTGTTCCGCGAAATAGAATAATTTCAGTTTATTTCGTTTGCTTTTATCAGCTATAAACGCCACAGACTTACATATTCCAGTAAAATTATGCGCAAACAATAGATATAATGAAGAGAAAAGGATCACTGAAGTTTTATTGCTAGATTCGATAACTTAACTGTATTTCAGTGATTGAGTTGATTGCTTTCTAAAACCAACTTATAATAAGAAAACCTGTAAAAGATACCAAGCACAATCAACAATAAACAATGATTTTATTCAATCTACACACTAATACATTTCAGAATTATTAATATGAAGTGTCGATTTCTAACGACTTTTGGTTTCATTTCAAATCTTGTACTTTTTAGCTATTTTTGGTCATTTCCTTTAAAATGATCAAAAACAATAGGTAAATTTGTGACACCATGTAATATTATTTCTGGTTTCAAACCTTTCACTTAGGTTACATGAATTTCAACCCATAATGAAGAAAAATGAAAATGTTGGTTTAGACTAACACCAATCAATTTTAACCATTCAATCTCGTTTCAATATTATCCTTGTACAGTAAGTAACTATATGAAAAAACTACGGTAAAAGCTCTTATAGCTCTCTATGCATGCCTTGGAATAATGGATACGGTTGTCTGACAGATCATTGTTCTATAAAACCCTATTTAACTCTTCAAACTATCAGGAAGATTTGAGCTCGACTAAACCTGTGGTCTAGTTAGTTACTTTTCTAGTTTAACAGCCTCATTTTATGAACAACATCCGGTACGCACTGAAATTGGATTGGAGTGGATGGTTATGAGTAAATTCTATACACTGCACACTCGTAGCCATCACTTATCTGTTTTTTATACACCGCAAGTTAATCAGTTCACAGTAAAATTCGTTTTCAAGTAATTCGTATTATTGCGAGTTTTAGCGATCATAATTTAGAACTAAAATTTAGCACCTGTGGGAGGTTGCATGGCATTACCACATTTTGGAAGAACTTTTATATGATATGCAAAATTCTTCATACTCGGAACGTAACAGTGATCAGAAAGGTTTTAAACATTATCACATATTAAACCAGAGACAGCGACTAAAACGTGAGACTGCCGAGTCTGTCATCAGAGCACCAACAATCGAATGTTAACAGTGGATCTGAATAAAAAGATTTCTATCCGCATTTTCAACAGATTTACATCAAAACGTTTTACAGTCGATCTTTTCCACAGGTTTGTGATGTTCTTTAATAAAACATGCCGTTTAGTACCGTTTTAAAGTTATGAAGATTAAAACGAAATATGTACAAACATACAACAGGTTTAACTGAGAGAAATATCGTGGCTTTTTACCTAATCACTAGAACGAGCACAAATTGTGACTTTTACAAACATTTTTAAAATACATTTGGTGCCTAAGTGGAATAGCGTTGAAGACTCAGGAAAGTTTTTAAAATAAGGTTTTAAGTAGCTCCGGAAATTAAAAATCTTCTTACTCTAGTTTTAGTTACCTTTTGCCATATTCCAAGTAGACTTAGAGGAACTGAAGTATTCTGCACACAAACACAAAGAAAGCACTTGTCTTCTCCACTTGAGAATCTTAGGTAAACAATAAATCGCATAGTGAGGCGTTTTTGTTCGCTTTGTGATCATATAATAAGTAGACAAATTTATAAATTTTAGCTTTTAAATCCAGTGTAATTGAATAAATGATTTTGCGATAAAAGTCCTCATTATCAATGACAAGAATACAACAGACAGACTTCTAATGGAAAATATTTCAACTGATTATTTCGACTGAATAGTTTAATTGGAATTCGCACTCTCGTCTACTTCAGTGAACGAAAACAGGCATACTAATCATATGTGAACGTGTTTAGAACAAACAGTTTTTGGTAGAGTTAAACAAAAGTGCATTGTATTTAAAATCGATAGATTTTCAGCGTTCGCGATCGAAAAATATATATCATTTTTACTTCATACTGCTGAGTGAGGTTTTTCAGTATAGTAGGTTAAAACTTCTGGACACTTTCTTTGTGTAGCTTATTATGGTTTCAGGTACATTCTAGGAATATGTAAAAGTAGGTAGGTAGGTCGCAAAATTAAATAGTTCTATACATCGATGCTGACTTCGTAGACTGCTATATGCAAACCCTTGCTGAAAGAGCTTGGCAGCGCCAGTATCAGATCACCAGTGGGTATGCCGCAGTTCGTACTTCGTCAGCTAAGGATCTACGCATCTAGCATCTTCCAATAGAATATCTGAACAAACTCCATCTTAACCTGTGTCTCTAATTGAGTTTTTCATCCTCAATTGGAAGGAGTTTTTGGCCAAAAGCGCTGTCAAACCCTCAATACTTGAACCATCTATAAATCTCTTTGGTAATCTGATAGCAGCTTTTACAATTTTTGGTCACGCACGATAATTGTAGAATCTATTTTGAAGGCTTTGTTTTTGGGAAATCCCTCCATGTATATGTATTTGTGTTATGACCTGACTGACTCTTTCTGTTCGATATTTTGGTACTTTGTTTGGTCCCATTTTGAGATTTTATCATTTGTATCTTGTTATTATTTCTATATCTTGTACTTATATTGAAGTTTCTATGTTTCCTTCTGAACTATATATGTGTTGTTTAAAATTAACGCTTAATTTGGCTACAGCAATTTTTGGATTTGATACTCTAGCAGCAGCTGACTGAGACTGACTGGAAGCATTTATTCTTCCAGTAACGGAACATATTGTAGTGATTAGAAACTCGAAGGTGTAATATTGTTTTGGTAATTGTCTGAATTTCCTTTTTTGATTAAATATAGAACCTTCTATCTCAGAATTATCGTTTTTGTACTTGGACTGGGCGAGACGCATGTGAACCTACACCTCCCGTTTTCAGAGCGGACCGCGAGAGTAATAAATTATTTTCCTACAATAATGTATATTTTAATCAAAACGATTGCCTGCAAGTACGTGTAGCTAACTGCGTGCTGATTATTAAGTATCTGAATAAATGATTTTTGTGCCTGGCTGTCTCTCTGAAACAGTCGAACTACTGAAAAACAAGAAAATTCTTTGGATATGGGTGATGACATAGGGTCACGAATCACTACTGTCAAAAACCTTCCGGAATAGCTAAAGAGGAAGAGGAAGATAAAGACGGCACGGATACTCAGAGTTTAACAATCCTCTAAGTCTTAATACTTTTCTAATAAATAATAAATTAAAAAACACCCTCAAACTATAAGTCAGGTTTGAGGGAAACAAAATTTTTATTGAACGGTAGTTGGGATGATTATAAATGAGTGATTTAGGCCTGCCAGTCGATGTGAGAATGTACCTAACAAGGTATGCCTATTGATCTTCTGGCAGGAAAGAGAGACTGGGCGCCTTCAGATAGAGCATGTCCACTGAAACTAACGAGGTAAGCATAAACATCCAAGACTTTCAGAACTGTTATATTTTAGTATTTACTTACCACCATACCAAATTTGAAGTATAACTGAAGGTATGGTGATGTATAATTTCTAATCCGATAAGTTTTTGGAGGGTATACACTGCCTAGTTCGTCGTGCTTCGAAAAGACTAAAGTAAGAATTTTGAACATCACACTAGTATTTAAAAGTTCTGTCTGCAACAAAACTATATTATTGCATAGAATTCTACTGCTAGAGCTAAAGAAAATTAGTATTTTTGAACTTCAGATTAGGTGCCTGCCAGATTATTTTATAGAAATATAAGCCATTAAAGTTCAATCTGAGTTGTCTAATAGGGTTATCGTATCGAGAACAGCATCAAAAGTTCATTCACCAGGTCTCCTCATTTTTGTTGACTATCCATAAGTAAATCCTACAACGAGACCTATTATATAAGTAGGACCTACAAAACATGAGTGACAATTTAATATCAATCAACCCCAAAAGTATATCCGTTTAGGAAGGATGCGATCGACCTTGAAAGGTTAATTTTGGAGGTTTACTTGTTACTAAAATGCAATAAGAGTTAATGAAAGCCTCTGTCATAATAATATGAAAAACTGGAAAGCCAAGCTATATAGGCATAGTCACGCTAAGGACTTAATTCGTCCTAGTATAATATACTTCAGCCTCTAATTACTGATGTATTTATACTCCAAAGGTTCCTAATAAGTAGGAAATCCCGGCAACCAGTATAAGGCAGGACAGGAAATGCAATAATGTGACTTAAACAGAAGGTCATATGTTGATTGATTTGAGCCTATTATTCTGGAAGAACAAATGACCGTCAAAGCGCTCAATCCCGTGCATCCACTGTTTGCGAACAGAGTTAGCAATCTTTCTGTCAGAGATAATGGCTGTGTGGACAGTGCGTGAGAATGCATCTGTTATGTCTTCCTCGTGTGGTATGAAACTCGTTGACCTGTGGATTATCTCTTAACAACTTCTAGATCAGAGTGAGAGGATCGTTTTAGAAATACGTTGGCTCTCCATAACCACAATGAAGCCGGTTTTCAGAAAAATCCATACTTTACAAACGATAAATTGTCATACCTTTCTTCCGGATGTCACAGTGCATACCCTCTTCAAAAGGTAAGGGGCACAATGGTTGGCCGAATGGTCAACATAAATAGTATGGTGAAAATTGAAACAGGAAAGGTTCAAACAGCTAATTATGAAAAGTCGAAAATTATAGTGTCACGAGGACAACGATAAACGTGTTTCAAAACGGTAACCTTACCCAGTGAAAGTTAGGCAACAAAGATTCAAAAGTATCAGTACGCCAAACACAGAGGGGAATAATGGAAAACAGTGTACACGAAAACTCAGATACGCACTGAAAACGAATGTCATCAGCTAGTAGAATCTGACGTAAAAATCCTGTATAAAAGTGTATCACATAAGCAATTCGCACTAAAGGCAATAAATGAGTCTTTTATTACCTTAGAACATGGAAAGATGCAGTTTATCAAATCACGCTTTTTCAAGTGCTTTTATTTTGAATGTTGGTGTTCGAAAAATATACGAATCTATGTATAAATCTTAAAGGAAGATTTTTGAACCCATGCATATAAAAAAAAACGTGAAACAAACACTTCCATTTTTTAAAATTTTTAGTTCTACTCCTTGACCAAAAACACCGCTATTACACTGCTTCTCATGTCATTCCAATTTTAGAACGAACATAATGAGAAACATACCTCCAAGTAATTAAGGACTTTCTTTAATCCTTTAGAAGCAAAGTTCGAAGGTTGAAGTTCGGGAAAAAGATAAACTACCTGAGACATTACTGCAGCTGCCACTCTTTAGGTTTGATCAAATACTCTTAGCTGGAGATTCCAACATCCTATCTCTAAATCTCAACAACAAACTCCCATTAGTTTGTCCAAAGCCGACTTGGCGCAGCCATTAGAAGCTCTGAGCTTACCTGGCACTGAGAAAAAGATGCAGTATCAAAGTTCGAAGTGATTGGTGACACTTTCAGATGTAGCTAGCTTTCCAAATACAAGTAAACATTAAGCATTTGTTTAGGTTCATGACAAAAAGAAAACCTAAGAATCAGGGTTTGTTTTCTCCCAACCTATATATGGTTGAGATCTTCAACAAAAACTTCACCGATCAGTTAATCCAGGTATCCACATGTTAAGAGTACTACACAAACCCAGTGCTAGCTTTTGGTGGTGTTTCATTCTCTGAGCTGGTTGTTTTGGTTGTGGAGCTTTCATTGTTCTTCTGAACAACATCAGCACAAACATCAGATAGAAGTGAAGCATTCGGATTTCTCCACGTTTGACCTGTAGTTTGTTCTGCTAACCTCGATCTTGATTGGTTTCTGGTGACCTTAAACCTGTCGTTGTTTGCACCTTTGTTTTGATTGCATCCACCTTTTGATCTGTTTCTTGGTCCTGTCACCTATGATTTTTCTGACTGGTTGATAAATTTGGTCAATTTCGATGTGATTGTTGATTGTTCATTGACCTGAGTGCCAAGCTTTTAAAAAATTCTCTGGTATTCTTCGTCATCCCCCTATCTAGTATTTCCACATTTTCCAAATCGAGTGTATGTCCATAATTGTCGGTGTGTATTGTAAATGGATTTCTACGGTGGCCGTTCTAATGGGTTCCAATAGGTGCACTCCTGAACTCGTTTCTCCCAGTCCAAGGTTCCGATAAAGCAAAAATTCTAGGACAAAGTGGTCTTTATTAATAAAAACATGGAAATACAAAGCAGTACCTGGAATTAATACACCTTCCAGGTTACAATTACTCCGAAGAGTATCCGAAACAAAAATAGATAAGTGACGTTAAGTCCAACGGCTACTGTATCAATCCAAAT